AGGACTGGAATAATGATTACTTTCAGAATTCATGTGTTAATTTCATGACGTACAATGAAAGAGTGTGTTAGTAACATAATCGAAAGAAGGCTACGATTAAACGAGTCTTACTGGATTGTGTTTTTGAAGTAGTTGAAAATGAGTATTTGATGATAGTCCACATCATGATGTTTGCTGAAAAATAATTGCTAGAGACAGTTTCTTGGACAAACGAAGGCATATGAAGAATCCCAAGGCAATATAACAAATTGGAAAAAAAATAATTGTACACAATCACAATCAACAAAAGAAGACTAAAATGAAAAATACAAAAATTATATATAGAATAATTAATAGATCCCATACATTGTCTCAACAAAATAATATAATCAATTCTGATATTCACAGCTATTTCTTGCAGAGTAAATACATGCTGGTGTTTTCAACAATGTTCAGGAGAAATTTTGCATACATTGCTTCAAAATGGTTATTTGAAAGTAAAGTATGTCAGTTCGAATTTGAATCAGAATCTGGATTTATAGCTGTTTCTCCATCTTGTTTACGTTTTGAACCGGCGATTTCTGCTGCATGTTTTTTTCTCCATTTAGTACGACGATTTTGAAACCAAACCTAAACATTTATGGAAAATAAAATGGATTCAGTCGAAATAATATCAATGATAAATTCTAGTTGTAAAACATTACTTCACTTGTTTTCTATTGAATTTTAAATTAGTTCAGTAAATAGTTCAAACAAGAGTTTTTCAATATTTATCCTGTGATTTTGCCATATAGTTGTTCATATGACACTGCTATTTATAAGAAGGACTTATTGAATAACTTTACAAAGAATAAGGCATTAATTATTATTCAGCAATTTAAGAGAATCTCATCAATTATCATTTACCTAATTATAAGCTTTGGTATTAAGATATACGTATATTTGAATAGTCTAGAATATCTACATTCAAAATTTGCATCGATTGTACTACAATCAACTCATCTTCGTTTCTCTTGAAAATCTCCAAAAGTTCTACAAAATATAGCCTGTTATATTTGTTTAAGAGAACGTACGCAAGGTGTTTTAATTAAGACGTACAAAATGTAGCGAATAGATGAAACAGAGTTGGTTTTTGCAACTGTTACCATTCCCTGAGCGATAGTACTAACCTGAATGTCTCGTTTTTTTTATCCTAGCGACACCTATAACTCTTGAACAACTAAACATTTTGGTATGCATTTTTTCATATATGTTTTTTACAAGGATCATTTTATCCTAAATGTTTGACCGAGATGGGACTCACGATATGAGAAAACGTATTTGAGAAGAATATCACTTATTCTCTAGAAACACTTCAAAATCTTTGTAACATATGTTTAGTGAGATGACAGCCAAACAATGTCACAGGAATTTAATCGAGAAGCGAGGAATTCATTAATACGAGTATGAATGCTAATTAGATCGAAGAGTACTATAATAGCAATACGCTTCATCGTTCTTACTGATTTCGAAACCAATAGAAATGAAAAATGGTCGATGATATAAAAAATCTTATCAACTACTACGGGAAGCTACAGAAATGCACTATTTTGTACTATCGGTGTAGGATACAATACAGCGTAAGGCTACCTTAATTAAACGATAGTGTTCATATATATCAAATGTCATTTTAGGTTATATTGTTACTCATGTACGTTCAAATCGAGATAAATAAAGACAGACAAGATAATGACCAATAATATTTAAGGTTTTTATTATAGATTATTAATCGAACTTGGTCACACCCAAGCTCTATTATCTATGCAGCATAATAAACATCTTATTGATTTCGAAGTCTTTATATTTCTCTCTTTGACTAATTGTTAATCAATTTATATATGTATTACTTACTTTCACTTGACTTTCAGACATTCCTAAAGAATATGCTAATCGTGCACGTTCGGGTCCGGCTAAATATTTTGTTTGTTCAAACATTTTTTCTAATGCAAATATTTGATGACCCGTAAATGTTGGTCGACTACTCTTTCGTTTAAGATCTTTTTCTAATGTGGTTTGTTCCAGTGATGATGCTAAAATGACAAAATAAAATAACAGATCTATTCAATCTCTAATATAGTACACAATGATTTCTCGGGTGCACTCTCACACACGGTCTTTTAAAAGCATTGAAGATAAACTTAACCTATTCAACCACAAAATATATTTACACTTTTCTTTTTTTAGTGTTCATGACAATGTAAACAAACGAAAATAAATCGATATGGCTATTAAAATTAACGTCAAATTAATTGCCTTTCATGAACTATTCATTATACCTACCCTTTTCATCATGTAAACATTTATACGTTTTCTCTAAAAAAAGTTAATAACATTCGTCTCGAATAAGTATCATCATGAAATAAACTCATCTACTATAACATTTACCACCAATAAGACAATAGTATCCTTGTTTTATCTGTATTATTAAATAGATAGAGATTTCCAAGAACAGTCTTATATGCATTCCTATATAAAATAGTTCACATCCATTTTTTTTTCTATTTGATGATTCAATCCGTTTATTTTTTTTAATTCATTGATTTTTCTGTTTATATCAATTTCATGCTTTTCTATCTAATAAATATCAAATCGATCTTCTATGTTGTGTGACAGTTTCGAAATGTTTTTCAATTTAAAAATTATACAAGACACTTTCTTTTGTTGTTTATGCTTCTATGAATATCCTTGTAACCAAAGAGAAAAAGTCAAGTGATAATTCTTTGTTATTCACGTCTTTCATCTTCAATTCGCAATATCATACTGTATATTTACAACAAAAAAAAAAGAACGTTCAATCACTAAATAACGTTCATACTCATTATAAATAAAAAATTGTAGACATCGTCGACAGCAACCGTATACTATACTGTTTTCTTTGGAGACTATCGACATAGGCGTCGGAGCTACGAGGTTTGAGCTTCAGTAGATTTTAGTCCTACGACGCTCAGTCTCACTAGGTATTACGAAAAAATAACTTTTTCTCAGATCTGTTGACGGTTTATAAGTTTTAGATGTTCAAAACAGAAAGTCTCTACATGAGTGAAGAATATCTCAGTCAACACAGTAATCCCAGAGCATTTTTAATTTTGAGATAGTGTACGAACAATTATTTCATACTAATACGATGAGAATTTTTCTTAAATTCATACTATGGTAGCGATAAAAAATGTTGAACCTTACTAGATTTCAAGACTCCACCGCCTCCGACTATCGAGTAGCTTAACGTATCGTTACTCTTTTCATCGATATTTGATGTTTATCATAAAGTACTTTGAATTCTTTCTCGAATTTGATCAAATAATGAGACTTTGCCTTCATTCTAACGCACACTATAGTATTTTATAACAGTAGTTTAGAAAGTTAGAAATATTGACGGGTGGTTATTCCGTTTCATATATTTCACTTTCAGTTGACAATTTTTATCGACATCATATACAGTTGAGTGGCGTCGAATGATATATCAAATGTGCTTCGCATCAATTAATGAATCGTATTCTCTTTTGTTTCTAATTTTTAAAACTCATGCAATAAATGTTCAAGATGAGTTAACAAATACTATGTCCTATAGACATCACAATGTTGTAAATGACATCATACAATGAATAAGAAAAAAAAAGAGGAAATAGAATCTAATAAATATTCTCTCTCTTTCACATGACATGATGACAAACGATTTACGTTGTTTCATTAGCAAAAATAATATACATTTGTCTATATTATTGCGCGACAGACAACACGAGATAAACATTAAGATGTAATATAATAATGTTTTTCTTCTTTTTTTTGTGATGATAGTAGTGGTTGGTGCTTAGACGATGATGATGAGTGGGAAGGTCAAAATTCAAATGTACACCACCATTGACAAGATAATTCGAGAGTCAATTTTTGAATAATGAGTTTTTAATATTATCCGCTGATTTCGATTGTCTGTAATTAATATTATAATAATACGATGGCCAATGAACATCGTATAATTGGATAAATATAAATGAGTTAGTTTTGAAGTGAATCACTTTTCTTGAAAGAACTTTTCAAACATCTTGCATTATTCTCAAGTTTAACAGTGTTTGTGTTTATATTAATGATTCGCCTAATTTCCGATCGGTTACGTCTTTTAAGAAGAATTTAACTGGCGAATGAGAAAAAAAAAGATAGAAGAAAAAGAAAAATGTATTCATTCATCATTATTGTCGATGACAGAGCGGTATTGATCTCTATTTATATTGAATTGCATTGATGAAAGGAGATCGCGCGATATGTTTAATAAACATTATATAGATCTCCTTTAAACATTGTTTTCAAATAATTGAAAGAATGTACATCGTTTTACTCTCTCTCGCTATTCGTGCAAAAAACATTTAGTTATAAATATCTCATTAGACACAGAGAGAGAGAGAGAGAGAGAAGAGTGTTAGAAGATATAAAAACACTTTCAGGGACAATGATATGCAGAGGTGTCTTAATCACACATGAGTATTAACAACATACTGTTTTAGCAAAATAATCTGATAAAATTAACACAAAAATTGTGTAAAAGAATTAATTAAGCTCACCGTTATCATACAAGTCAAATAATTGTCACACCTAAACGTGACATAGTCATAAGATCACTGAAAGAAAGAGACTAGAATGTCCAAATAATAAAATCAATAAACAAATCACTATTCTGCGTGAATCATATTGGAATGCATTACAAAAACTAGTTCGCTCCTCTTCAATTAATATAGAGGTTTCAGACTATTTAAATCGATGATACAGACATTCTTTCTTATTCTCCATCTTTACATCGTTGACATCCCGACTAGAAAGTTTATTTGTCTCTTATAAAGGCGTCACACTCTATGCATTTCCAGACGGCACTCTCTTCAATCACAAAGTGTGTGTGTGTGTGTATGTGTGTGTGGAAACGGATCTATGGTCGATTAATTTTCTTTAAATCATTTAAATAGTGACAAGACAAATTGCAGAAAATATTAGAAAACATGGTGCCAAATAGGCTCAACTTGAAAATTATTGTACATCACACATTAAAAAACAATTAAAACACAATTTTTTGACATTTCTTCTCTTTACAACGTATGGTGTGTTGATTTACGCGATGATGTTTTTTTGTCATTGAGCACAAAAAAGAAAGTTGTACGTAGATTCTGAAACGGTAAAATATTGAGAGAAAGAGAGAGAGAGATGAAGATTACATAATATATTGCATAGCGAAAATAATGAAAAACATTCCTGATGATCTGAATGCTTTCACTGACAGTTTTTTTCTACATTTAGAATGATTAATCATCAGCATGATGTATAACGAGTTTTATAAGTTCTACTCTGATATCTATTACAAAGCTGAAAACTTAGACAAATGTTAAATGACTTTTAGTACACTAGAAACATATTTTAGATTTAGTGAATGTATCCAATGTTTTCTATTACAAATTAATACCAATGAAACGTGTGTAAATTGCGTAAGAATACACCTACAGATTTACTTCACCAAAATTTCTATAGACAGATTGTATAATTGAAAAATTTCACCGGAAATCATTATTCTCTTTTTCTCTAACCTGATATTATCAAAAAATACAATTTCTTATTATATTGAGACAAATACACACAACGAATAAATGCAGATGATGAAATAAATAAATCATCGAATAACCATTAAAAAAGTTGCTATGTCTGAATGAGAATGATTGAGCAATACTCTTTGTTTATGAACAATAGAAGATCATAAGAATACCATAGCAGAAGAAAAAAAAAGGCAAAAATATGCAAATGTGTGTTGTTAAGTATGCTCTTCTAGAGGAAGCATAAGTGGGTTGAATATACAACAGAAGAAAAAAAAAGAATACCTTTCGTTTGCCAATTTGTTGGCATTAACGGTGGCCAAGTTGTATTCATTCTGTCATCTTTTGTTGGTGTTGTGGATTGTGAAATAAATGTTGGATGATTAAGATAGTTAAATTGTGTTAAATTTAATGTTGTTGCACGTGAAAAATCGGGCATAGAATTTGGAGGTGTAATTGATGTATTTGAACCGGAACTACAAGCTCCGTTCGATGATGTACCGAGAGGAAGTGCTGTAGATAAATTAGAATCATACATTTTATGATTACTAACATTATTCGTACCATTATTGCTTAAAAAGTTTGTTGATGATGAAGATGAGGATGGTTGATGATGACTGATACATTGTCCTAATGGACTTTTTAATTCGGATACGTTTGCAAAAAATGGTAATGGACTACCGGGAAAGCCCCAAAAGTTCGATTGTTGATTGCAACTTTGTAACATATTTTGATTGGATAATATCATCGTTTCATCCAGTAGCTTCTAATAGAATGAAATACGTCAAAAATAAAAGATGATAAACTCTAAAATAGAGATATTAAGAATAAAGAAACATGAGGAAAAATATACGACACGAGAATGATCCTTACTACAGTGTAAAATCGAGTCAGAATCGTTAACATCAACAGACTTATTGTATGATGTTTGAGGTACTGAACTCAAAATATAAACAAGCATGTTTCGAACATTCATACAATTTTTAAAACGATGCTAAAAGTTGCATATTCAACAAAAGAGTGAACATTTTTCTCAGAAATGAAAAGAAGTAAACTAAGACTTTAACAAGTATTTAATATAGACGGTCATAAAAAACTGAAGCTACATGTATAAATCATCATCGATATTAGCATCAATGGAAGTTATCGGTTTCTTGCCTTATTCTAGCGATCGTCAGATTAAGAGTACGCTACATGCTAGACACTAGGATTATAAAAGTGGTCAATATCAAAAATATTGTGGAATCAACTTAGAGATCTTTTCTACAAAATTTTGACGCTAAAACGATTTGATAGGACTTTTCTATCACATCTATAAATATAATGCCTTATTTAGTTTCAATATTGCTTAATAAAGTGGTTATTTGACAAAATGATATGTTTAGGGTACCTGTATCTAAGTATCTAAAGGTAGAAGAATATACTTTTTATGTAATTATAATGTCATTGATTTGTTTTTAATACTTACACAAGAAGAAGTATATGTGTTCTTTCGAAGTTTATTGTCTTTAAAATAGCTTGACTTTTTATTATCGTTTCCGTTAAAACAATTAATCAAGTATATTCATCTCAAGCATATCAATGATCTAAAGAGAGAAAGAGAGAGTCTATATATTGATCGATTTTCAATGGCGTTTAAAATAATTTCAATACATTAAAGCAATGATAATAATAGAAAAAAAAAAAAGAGTAATACAGAGTATCTGAGTTAAATATTGTATGTAATGATGAATATAGAAATTTATAGTCTCTAAGAGAAAAACATTTCGTATTTTATTTTCTCTATAGCTCGAGCGTATCATTTCTTTTTCTTGTTCTCTATTTGTTTGATGTACGTGTATGGCAAGAAGGACATACACATCCACACATGTACACATTCTCTTTCTTTAATAACGGATCGTTGTTTCATTCGTGTAGAAATGAAAGATTTCCATTAGTTGTTTGTCTGCAAAGAGAGATATGATAAAATTATTCGCTTGATTCTCTTTCCTTCCATAGACTATTTATTGGTTCCAAAAAAAAAAAGAAATAATATATATATATAATAAATAATACGACATTTTTTCCCGTTGGTTTCGGGAAAGAACTAAAAAATATTAGGACTAAGAAATTCTCGTTCGACAGTATCGTCCCGACCACATGTTTTTCTTTTTTTCTATATAATTTCACTAAAAACAATTAACAAGTAACGATCTTTTTCCAGACATGTTTGTGAGAAAAAAAAATGAGAACTATATGAAATGTTTGTATGAATTTTTTTTTATGTCAGGTTATATTGTTGTTCAAAATGGGTAAATATATCTAGCAAAGTATCCTATAAGAAATAATTTCGCTGTTCACATTGAAAAACCCATTGTATACAACAGTCATCTTCCCTTTCTCTTAACTAATGAGAAATAAACTGTCAGTAGGATGACGAGATCCATAAGAGACTTTGTCAACTGATCTAAAAAGGATAAGATTTTTGGAAGTCAGTTTTTGTATGAGTTAAAATTGTGCCTTCATTAAACTATCGCTTTATTTCATCTCATATAAGAATATTTTCTTCTCTTTCTCGTGCTTATATTGTATACATCATTCTAATTATGCTAATTGATTGGTCCCAATGTTGAAGAGCAACAAACATTTCTTCCATTATTTTGTCCATTTGTTCTCGTTAGCTATATATCGACATACATATCTTATGACCATCAATCAATTTTAAAAGCAAATTAGACAAGAAGAGCTATAAAAAAAGGAAAATGTGACGATGAATTTTTTTAATGTATTTCTATTAGGCAAAGAATGCTTGAAGACCGTAATAGAGAAAGAAAAATCAACAAAAGTATTTGATGTTTTCAAAATTTTGTCTTGATAACTTAAACTAAGAAAATTCTATTGACATTGAGGTCAGAATGACTAACTGTTAATAATCAAATGAGTCCATTTGACATCAGATCACGTTGTATGCTTACACAATCTTCTCCCACACAATGTTTAGTACTTTGATAGTGAGCGTTTTTGTGCTAAATCGAGCGAAACCGATGTAAGAGGATATTAGAGATTTTTTCTTCATTGCCTTTTGCGCATGGACTATGGTAATAATAAATATTTTCATAACTATCAGAAATTGGAACTGTCGAAAGAAAAAAACAAATGATTTAATTTCCCAGTCATATCTAGAGAAGAAGATAATTATTATTTACAATCTTAGAAAAGACAGCAAAGATTATTATTGCTGTTTTTCACTAATACTATTTTTGTCATTTCTCATCAAAACTATCTCCAATTATAAGTTGATTAATTAATAGATATTACAAAATTTTTCGTTGAATTTGCTTTTCTTCACAAATCAATTTCAAGAAAAACGTTTTATATATATATATATAATATATTTGATAGTTGAAAAGGCAAAAATTTTAGTGTAATGAAAAGTAAAGAAAAAGGACAATGTAATTTGAATGTGGCTTCACTATAAAGAAGAAAAATGTCTATAATACGTGTGACATTTAACAACAAGTACTAGTTTTATCGCATACTCTACTCTTGTCTGGATTTATATACAATTTGTATTGTGTATATGTGTGTGTATGTGTGGAGGGGGGGGAACCAATTCCATGTATCCTATAATGAAAATCAAATTAGACCATCTATTATGTCGATTACTCAAAACAACACATTTAATGAAAAAAGAACAGAAAAGAAAATTGCCTGAAAAAAACGCACTACAGAATCCAAATAAAGAATGATACATCGATTTTTTAGCAATATTATTAGAGAAATAATTCACACTGTTATATCCATCGTTCTAAATTTACTGTGTTCGAATTTATTCATTAAGTCTAAATTGACTAGATTTATTCGATTTTCCGAAAGAAAAAAATTATTGAGTAAATACCGTAAGACATGACAATGGTATTAAGAAAAAAACATGCACTTATTGAACCGAAAAAAGACGCATCTGTTCGAGATATACGAGATACATTATAATGCTAAAATTACGAATACAATCTCTCTTAAACTCTTTGTTAGTTCGTTTTGTGGAGCGCAAAAGAGGATCTCTTGGGTTCTAACGTTACTGGAAGCTGTTCTACAAGCGTTTACGATTTTTTTCTCGATGCCAATTGTTCACTCAGTTTTCTTCAAAAATAGCACTGCTGTCAATTTCAAAATGGAGTGTTTTTCGAATAAATCACGTTAGAAAAGTGATAAAAACCTGTAATGTCCGCCACTTTGTAGTAAAGACCTAGAGCTATATATCTAGGAAAAAATAAAACTCCAGGTCTGCTATGATGTACAGTATCGAACAGAATTCGAAACGCTGCAGCTTTGAAAAATTTCATTGGCCTTTACGTGTTAATAGCATACCTGGATAGGACGAACAAATCTACGCACGACTAATGAGATATCTAGCTTTTGTCATCGTAGATGAAAGGATGGTACTACCGTAAATGAGAGCAACTGGTATTTCGGTAGTGTTCTTTCACTTTTCTTTTCTTTCTTCTAATGGCGTTACCAAACAAAATACAAAAACTAGAATTAATATTGCGGTTAAAAGCATTCAGTGGATCTTATAAAGCTCAACCTTTCCAGGGTATTTCAAGTTCTTTCAGCATCGATGAGGTGCGTGACAGACGAAATGGCGCAGATTTCTGAATTATTAATCACTTTTTAGACAATTTTTTTTCTCATTTTCATTTCTAAAAACACAATTTCCAAGTTACAAAAGAGTTTTCCGTTTATATTTTCTAAGATGAAAACAAAAGTCTGGCACTTTATAGATTTTAAGAAAAGCTTTGCCTAATTATTATAAAACCGTCGATTATTCTAATCTAAAGGAGGGAGAGCCAGTTTTCCTTGATTTTAGTCCACTGTTTTTTTCGACTTAATTTTGATCGGATTTTATAGAGAAAGCGCTTTTGCACATTTTTCAGTTTATCTGAGCCTTCATAACCTTACAGAGGATTTTTAAATTAACTTTTCTTAGATGATACATAAAGGATACCGGTGCTTAACAAAAACGATTCTGTTCGAAATCTAATATGAAGTTATGGTAAAGCTTGATATAGAACAATAGCCAATGAAAAAGTGAACAAAATAGTATATGAACCATAGTTACGTACCATATTATTAAGGAGAAATGGTTTATTTTCAAGCATCCTCTATCTAATGATCATGATTGAGTGATCGTATTTTCCCATTTTCTATCATAAGCAAGAGAGGATGCAACTACTCTTTACTATAGAAAAATAGTTCTTGAAAAGCTTTGCAATATTCTGAGTAAACAAACTCTGAAAATCATTGGCTCAATCCTTTATAATTCAAATCACTCGTATTTTGAAGTTTTCACCATCCAATTTCAATTTTTTTTCTCAAAACTAACATCATATTTCGAATTAGCGTTAAAAATTGCATCGAATAATCTTTGCTTCGGAATTTTTAGACAGATTTCTGTCAAAGTTGTCAATTTTTAACGCTAATTCGAAATATGATGTTAGTTTTGAGAAAAAAATTGAAATTGGATGGTGAAAACTTCAAAATACGAGTGCATTTCCCTGATTTTTTTCGTATTCGTGATTTAGTGCATTGTAGAATGCTCTAAGTTTTGTTAGAAATAACTATGGAAGATACATTGAGATACATTTTGTAGAATAAACAGTTTTCTACAAAATGAGATGTTCCGCAGCTCTGAGCGAATCTTGATAATCGATGCATAGGAATTCTCCCAGATACCCCATCATCAGTTTTTTGGTACAGTCAAAAACTATATGCTCTTATTTTAGTTAATATGGGTTAAGGCGAAGGCATAGACGAAAGTTGTGAAATAGGGACACAAAGAGAGTATGAAATACTAATTTCAAATATTGTAAAAACATATTACTTAAATAAAAATTGTTTTGAAAAGTGGTGAATTATTTTTGCAAAATATTGTATTACAACTTTACTATAATGTTGACATTCGTACGAAATTCGTATGAGAAATTATTATGTCGCACTGCTGCATATCGGTGAACACCATCACCACTGTATCAGTAAACATTATTTTTGCTGAATACGTCGTTTCGGTCATCTTCGAAATAATTTTTGTTTCAATAGCACAATTAAATTCGGAAATTTGCATTGGAAAAAGAAAGAAAAATCAATTTGCAACAAAAGAAGAATATAAATTACTCAGTCTGCCATTTTACCATGTTCATGCCTTGTTTCTACATTTATTACAAAAATAATGAAAAATAGTCACATCATAAAGCAAAGAATAATCATATGAGAGGCATTCATTTAAACTATCAAATCTTTCTATCAATACAAAAGCATCGTCATCAAGACTGGTAGCTTTTTGAATCAATTTAATTGATGTAATTCACTGTCTGAAAACCTTTAAAGTTTTTATTCCAACACCTACACAGGATAGTTTTACTGTAATAACTTACCTTTATGTAATAATATTGCTTTAGCATCATGGCCATTCTCAGAAATATATCCGATGCACGCTATGACTGAGACATTAAATTGATATACCGTGGCTATATTATTCAACACTGCCAAGACATGTTTTAGTTGATAATAATTTTATCGAGTTGCGCAAACTATGATAAATTCACATATACAAAGAGGAAAATGGATGACATAGGGACGGGACTTAGAGAACCGATTCATTTTACGAAAAGCTAATGCTATGCAGTAACATTGGGCTCTAGTTCCTATGTCAGAGATTTCAAGATGCTATTCTAATCTTAACATTTTTGGCGTGACTAATAATAACAACGACCGAACGAACCGAAAGTCTAACGTCAATCATTGATCATTATTAATAAAATTAGCATAGACTTCCTCTAACTAAGAAATCGGTATTTTGAAGAAAAATTGCATTTTGTCATTTTATAAGAGCTTTAACTCAAATCTTTTGTGTTACGTGAAATTTGTATTAAGAAACGTTTTTATTTACAAGGATAACGTAATTGTTTTTTCCTCAATAGATTTTCAATATGAGATGTGCTTTTGACATCAGTTAACGTTGCTGTTTCAAGATACTGTTTGTTTTGTGAAATTTAAACTGAATATACATACATTGGTGGTAGAAGAGATCTGTGTCACAAAGTTATCCATGTCTTTTATTATATTAAGAATAAGTTTCCTAGCGTTTACTTAACTGATATCTATAGTAAATCAGCTAAGAAGATAGCGGTGGGATACGGGTACTTTTTTCATACTATATTATATATTTCTCCTTCGATTAGTGTACATAGAGAAGTCAGGATAGGATCATGTAAAAAATACATTGATTTTGAAACAATAACTGTCATATTTATTGTTTTATAAAGCAATAGCTTTCGATAAATTTTCTTACATGCCTTTGGCTAAATAAGCACAGACAAAAAAAAATGAGATCAACTAAAATTGAAAAGACAGGAGCCCTAAAAATATACACAACAAGAAGAAAAAAAAATGACAACGAAAAAAAGAATAAAAGATTATTTGTCTTTCATATTTATCAGCACATCAGATACATTACTCATTTGTTCTTTAAAAATTTTATAAAGGAAAACAGGAAGAACAAAACAATATCTTTTGTTCTAAACATCTAATACTAAATACTTCGGAAATTAACGAAAATATTGAACGTATATACAAATTGAGAAAAAAAAAATCTAGTTTGCATCGTTATACGACAGACGAAAGTGTGTGTATGTGCTAATATAAATAAATTAAATTTATCTAAGAAGAAATAAAAATCACCCACCCATCATCAGCACAAGTACGACTATGTGACTTAATTGAAATTACAAAGTGGAACAAAAAGAAAAATGACAAAATGAGAATTAAAGTAAACAGAAAATGTTTTTATAAACATTATTTCGGTGAGAATTATTTGAACATAAAAATAATGTTAACAATAATTAATGAGTAAAAATTTAAAAAGTGAACAAAAAACAGAATAAATAACTCTAAGCTTGTTTGAATCAACGTTCTCTGTTTTTTCAATAAGACTATAAGTTGGCTGCAGCCAATGCAGATGGAGCCCAAACAACACAAGTTCTATCAGCACTTGTTGTAACGAACGACATTTCATGTGGATGCCATCGTGCTTGAATTATTTTATCCGTATGAGCAGCAACATTAGACAATATTAGAGGTTTAGTCAGATCACCTAAAAAAGTAAAAGTAAATATGATACAAGATTATGTCGCAGACAGAATACTACAACTTTAACTATATGCACATCCTTATCAGGATAAAGTAATAATTTCTTACCATTTAGACTTGTCATGACCACTTTTTTGTCATACGATGCTGTTAATAGATAATATGAATGAACAGAAAATCGTACACTTCGAATTTCGCCAGCATGTGGTTGATAAGTTTGTACAATTCTCTTTCCTCTTAAATCATATAGTAAACATGTTGCATCCTCGTAGGCTGCAGCCAATAATTGTCCGGAATTATCGACAGCAACAGCCGCTACTGGACTATCTGCAAAAAAAACAGAATATTCATTTTATATTATGAAGTTGAATAAAACCCTTACTACTGGCTCGTGGTGCAATAACATTAACACATTCGTTTTGACGAATATCCCATATTCTCGATGTTCCATCTTGACTTCCAGAAACAAAACTACACGCGTCCCATGCAAATAATGAATAAATATGACCTAAACAAAAATAATGATTCTTTTCACTTTATATATTATTATTCCTATTGTACCTTGATGTCCCGCATAATTTCTTATCGGTGTTTGTTTCATAACATCCGTGACATAGACTTTACAGTCACCGGCTCCACCACTCAGCAATATTGAATCATCACGTAAATGATCATGCATAAATATAAGATCTCTTATTGTACCATTATGATGTGTTAATTCAATTTCAGTATCTAAACAAAACGAAATTTGATAGTCAAAAATTCAACAAAACATGAATTGAACAGTCTCAATTACTATTTGACTCATCGTCTGGTCTATCCATGTCTAATCGAACAAGTTTAATTAACTTATCATTTGAACCAGTTGCAATAATTCGACCATTCGGACTCCATGACATACAATAGATTGAACCAAGGTGATGTTTGCCTTTTTTATAGAGAACTTTAGCTGGTTTTGGTACAGAATCCGTTCTAAAAAAAGATATAATTGTCATTATTGTTCTATTCCTCTTTCAGCCTTTATTATCTGGTACATACGCAATTTTTTTTAGTTCTGGATACGCGCATACACGTAACCTAAAACAAAAAGAGAAAATGGCTTTCCAAAAAGAAAACTCTCAGTTTACTCCTGGTTTTTAGCAAAAGATACACACATTTTTGAGTTTGAACCAACAGCAAAGTAATTTCCACTTGGATGTACATCAACAGCGCGAATTGCTTGCACATCTTCAATCGAAACTAATGGTAGAAATGCTGGTGAGCGGGCAATATCCTAAAATAAAAGAGAGTAAAACTAGGTCTTATATATGTGATAAAGCACAAACCTCGAGTGAATCATATTTTGTTACGTCATTTAATGGACGAGTTTTTATTGCCGATGGTGAAGCTAAAAATCAAGACAAACAGGACTGTTTTTTGCTAATGTCGAAATGAAATAAAGACTACGATAGGATAAATTCTTACAAAGTTGTTTTTGAAGTTCATTTCGCCGGTTCTCTTGTTCTTCAAACTGTTTAACTATCTCCGCACGACTCTTTTGATATTCCTAGAAAAATAAAAGTGCTCAAAAAAAATAACAACAAATATTCTCCAAAAACAACGCACACACATATACACACTAGCAAAGCGAATAGCAAATCAAAGATTTTCCACATATGAAAGTGGCTGAACAAGTTACAGCTATCAGGTAGAATATATGTCTTTGATGTGTTAACAGGAATCAATCTTTAAAAGTTTAGTTTCGCTTTGTAGTTTATACGTAGCAACATTTTTGACCGAAAACAACGATAAATAGAATGGATCTTGAATTTTATAAAAAATGTCAAAACTTTAACAATTTATACCGAGTTTTAAAGCGAAACATACTTTTAGTAAACGATCCGTTGATGAATCTGTCATTGACGATAAGTGTGGCTGAGGTGGAAATGGCGTCTGGTGGTTGCCAATATTTTGTTGACTGATTGGATTTATTCCGGGCAATGTCGACGGATGAGCATTTCTAAATACAAAACATGAACGAATTGGATTGATAAAGATATTTTATAGATAAGACAAGTGGTTGAAATCTATTTTTTTAACCTACCTGGATACTGGATGTGCATTCGATGTTGTTGAACTCGTTTGTACTGCAGGTTTAATAATTTCATTTGGCGTTGAAGCTAGATTTGTTCCGTTTGTTTGTGTATAGGTTTTGTTTTGTTGTCGATGAGAATGATTGTTTTGATTATTTTGAGAATAATGATTAGCACTTGTCGGAGATGTTAAAACGGGTGAATGAGAAGATGAAGATGTCGGAGATGAGATATGCTGTTGAGAACGCTGATATTGTTGTTGTTGAATATCGTTATTATTCGAATGTGAACTAAAATATGGTCCCGTAACTGACCGTTTTGGTGACTGTGAACGTTGTGTCGTGGATGGTGAGATGACACTGGATGCCGGTGATATTATACGTGGAGGTGTTGGATGAAGATCCGTTTGATTATTATTCGAAGCTGATTCTTCATATATGGCTTCTTGAACAGTTGGTAATGACGTTCCTCCGCCCGTACCAATTGCGCTGTGCGCTAAACTATTATCTTTTAGATTACATATAGCCAACGACCGTGACATATCATTAACAAAATTTCTATTATAATCTCCAAATATTTGTGATCGTATAAGACCATAGGATAGTCCATCATATTGTGGTGCCAATGACCGTGACATTAATTCGGTTGAACGTGGTTTACCCGTAGGTGTTGCATTAAATGGAAACATTGTTGTCGGTTTAAATGGTGTACTCAGCACATGTTCAGCCCATGTTGCCTCGAGTATGGGTTTCTGGAATTTTTCAATATTTAATGAAAGAGATTTTTGTTCAAATGGGCACGAAAATGTTTCTGTAGGCAATGCATGTAACCATGATAATAAACTAACATCAGTATCAGATAAACGAGTTGATAATAACAAAGTATTGGGATCTGTTAAATCAATTGTTTCATCGGTAGCTGTTGCTCGAGCTTGACAATGTTCAACGCATGATTCATATAATAAACCTTTCACTAATAGCTGAACTAGACGATCACCTTGACCAATAGATGTTGTTTGTTTATCAATCTATATGTATAAAATAGTCGGCATAGAATTCGTCAGACAGTCAATTGTTATTAGATAACGAAGACTCACGCTCAAATAAAACAAGTAGCTTAAAAACATTTTATGAAGATTTTCTTACTTGAAGAAATCGATGAACAAGTGGAAACACTTCGTGAAAACATTGTACTCTCCCAGCGCTTGGATTCCAGTTACGATAATCCGGATGATCTTGTAAATGTTTTAATGTTAATAAAAATGATAATTTTTTATATTCTTGTTCCGATGGACAAAATGGATGTAAATCATTCAAAAATCTGTATTTAACAAAAGCAAATGAATATATCTATAGTCTGATGTGTTGATAAATGATGACTTACTTGACTATTTGTTCTACAGATAAATCATTTTCAATTTGGGCTTCAGTTTTTAAACATAATAATTCTAGAAACTGATACTTTAAAACAATGTAAATAAATTGTTTAGCATCAAACGAGTCGATTGTTTTTAATGGTTGAACAAAATCTACGACATCATCCCATTGACCATCCAAAATTAATTGACGTAAAAATAATATATCTTCAGAAAATGAGCCGTTAATTATGCCTGTAAATACATAGATAAACGAATTGTCTAATAATAAAATATTGAAGAAATACTAAAATTATGAAATATCCTCCAGCTTTAGTTAGTTTTTCTGATTTTTTAGCTTGCTTGGATAACAAATGAGTCACATTTATATCATCATCAACTGAAATTCTCTGTTGCAAATAATACTAGATATTCGTATCAACTGAATTGAATTAGAAACCTCAATAACTGAGTAAATAATCGGTCAAACTGTATTTATATGCAAAGATGTTGCAAAAAAACAATCAAAACACAAGATTAATCTTAAACTTGGATAAAGTTGTACGACTGCGAATATTTTCGTCTAGTCCTTTCAAGACAGTCTCATGCCAACAGCATAACAGAACATATTTTCTTCAAAGTAAAAGTGTTCATCACTTAACAGGTTTCTTTTTGTGAGAACAAACAGGAAAATTTATATCCCGACTCATTCTCTATTCTTACAATTCTCTTCAGCTCTGTAACTTATAAAAGATAAAAACTTAATTTTAATAATAGGGACTATACTAATTGACATGAATAAGAAAACTTATCTGATCACTCATGCATATTATATACGTATGATTAACGTTCAATTAAATTTTGCAATGTGAAAAAAAACAGAACGATAAAAACCAGATATAGTGAATCTGACTCTATCCATACTAGTACATGGAGCTTTAGATGTATATGTACGAAAAAAGAGAATAAAACATGTTGCTTACGACGTTTCTTTAAGTTCAATCGAATATCTTAGATTACACTGAGGCATTCTGACCGTCAGCAAGTTAGATTGTGAATGTTATTGCGTACAACCAACCTAAAAGCGTCGTTACATTAATCTGCTTGCTGAAGAAGAAAAAAAGACTGCACAACTGAACCGTTTTGTTAGACTGTTGGCTGCAAGAAATAGTTAAATACAACGAATTTAACCAATTTCCTGTATTTTCTTAAGCATTAAGAAGCATGTATTGTGACATGAAATCTTCCTACCAAAGTCTTAATCCGTGTTTTTAGAGAACTTTTTGTCATGGTGGGTTTTTCCATTACAAAATCAGTGAAAATTTACAGTTCAGTCAAAATTCATTTCACAATCAGATTTGCAGTTGGAAACGCAGTAAAAATTACAACGGATTTCAGTTTTTCATAATGGATTATAGTGGTACATGTGCTTATTCACCGTGATATTAAAAATACTGGGTTTAATCACTGGTATCGAAGCAAATTTCGGCTATGACTGATCTTCTACATTCTCTTCTTTCCTTGCGAAAGGCTCTGTTAATGGAATGGAAAAACACAGAAAATCAATAAATATATACCTGTTTCACGCTCGATATCTAACATACTAATATACAATTCTCGATTCTGAAGAAAATCGAGTATAAGCTTAACAGCATCTCGTTCCGATATTGAGATGTTCACACGCAAATTAGACATAGGTATTCGTCTAGCCAAGAACAAAATATCTAAAATAAAAAAGGAACTTCGAATATCTGAGTGAAACAGCGTTTTTAATGATTGGTGACTCAAGTAGAAATAAAATGACTTTTTCACTCTTAAACAGAAAAATGCGGTGATAAACTATAAAGCCATTTTGCTAGAAAGTCTCACTAAAAACGCGGCAGCGCAACAAGAAAAACAAAGTTTCCGACTCAAGAAGAAGGCTATACAAAAGAATAGTAGTATGTGTGTAAACTGACGAGGGAACCTCTTGAGGTTATAAATCGCTTTTGAACTCGGACTACTTGTATCTTGTAGACCTCAGTGAGTAGTGAAATACCCTAAGTTGGTTCATCCCCATGGTGCTTTGTTGCTGAGATA